AGTGGTTAAGTTCAGTGTACTCCACCTCAGCAGCCCAGGTTCAGTTCCTGGGCACAGAGCTACACCACTTGTCTGTCAGTGGCCAAGCTGTTGTGGCAGCTCACATACAAAACAAAGAAGATTAGGGCTGGCCTGGCGGCACAGTTGTTAAGTTTGTGCACTCCACTTCGGCAGCCCACGGTTCACTGGTTCGCATCCCGGGCACAGACCTATGCACACTTGTCAAGCGATACTGTGGCAGGCATCTCACGTATAAAATGGAGGAAGATGGGTACAGATGTTATCCTAGGGCCAATCTTCCTCAGAAAAAAAAGAATAAAACATTTTTTTAAAAAAGAGCAAGATTGGCAACAGCTGTTAGCTCTGGGCAAATCTTCCTCAGCAAAAAATAATATTACTAACTACAAAGAGAACAATAGTAAGTTTACATTGGAGAATCCTGGCAGACACTACCTTAGCCAAGTGATCAAAGTTGACACCACCAGTAAAACATATCAACATCATGTACACCCTGATATGATGCACTGAGGAGGGTACATTCACTTCTGCGGTATCCTCCCCAAAAATCCAAAACCTTAATCTAGTCATGAGAAAACAGCAGACAAACCCAAATTGAGGGACACTATACAAAATAACTGTCCAGTACTCTTCAAAAGTGTCAAGGTCACTAACACATTCTATGAGGCCAACATCACGCTGATACCAAAACCTGACAAGGACACCACGAAAAAAGAGAACTACAGGCCAATATCACTGATAAACATAGATGCAAAAATTCTAAACAAAATTTTGGCAACCCGAATTCAGCAATTCATCAACAGGATCATACATCATGATCAGGTGGGATTCATACCAGGGACACAGGGATGGTTCAACATCTGCAAATCGATCAACGTGATACACCACATCAACAAACTGAGGAATAAAAACCACATGATCATCTCAATAGATGCAGAGAAGGCATTTGACAAGATCCAACAGCCATTTATGATAAAAACTCTGAACAAAATGGACATAGAAGGAAACTACCTCAACATGATAAAGGCCATATATGACAAACCCACAGCCAACATCATACTCAATGGGCAAAAACTGAACACCATCCCCCTGAAAACAGGAACGAGACAAGGATGCCCTCTAACACCACTCTTATTTACCATAGTACTGGAGGTCCTGGCCAGAGCAATCAGGCAAGAAAAAGGAATAAAAGGAATCCAAATAGGGAGGGAAGAAGTGAAACTCTCGCTGTTTGCAGATGACATGATCTTATATACAGAAAACCCCAAAGAATCCATTGGAAAACTGTTAGAAGTAATCAACAACTACAGCAAAGTTGCAGGGTATAAAATCAATTTGCATAAATCAGTAGCATTTCTATACTCCAGTAATGAACCAACAGAAAAAGAACTCAAGAATACAATACCATTCCCAATCGCAACAAAAAGAATAAAATACCTTGGGGTAAATTTAACTAAGGAAGTGAAGGACTTATATAATGAAAATTACAAGGCCTTTCTGAGAGAATTGGATGACGACATAAGGATATGCAAAGACATTCCATGTACATGGATTGGAAGAATAAACATAGTTAAAATGTCTATTCTACCTAAAGCAATCTACAGATTCAATGCCATCCCAATCAGAATACCAATGACATTCTTTACAGAATTAGAACAAAGAATCCTAAAATTCATATGGGGCAACAAAAGACCCCGAATTGCTAAAGCAATCCTGAGAAAAAAGAACAAAACGGGAGGCATCACAATCCCTGACTTCAAAACATACTACAAAGCTACAGTAATCAAAACAGCATGATACTGGTACAAAAACAGGTGCACACATCAATGGAACAGAATTGAAAGCCCAGAAATAAAACCACACATCTATGGACAGCTTATCTTTGACAAAGGAGCTGAGGGCAGACAATGGAGAAAAGAAAGTCTTTTCAACAAATGGTGCTGGGAAAACTGGAAAGCCACATGTAAAAGAATGAAAATTGACCATTCTTTTTCACCATTCACCAAAATAAACTCAAAATGGATCAAAGACCTAAAGGTGAGACCTGAAACCATAAGGCTTCTGGAAGAAAACGTAGGCAGTACACTCTTTGACATCAGTATTAAAAGGATCTTTTCGGACACCATGCCTTCTCAGAGAAGGGAAACAATAGAATGAATAAACAAATGGGACTTCATCAGATTAAAGAGCTTCTTCAAGGCAAATGAAAACAGGATTGAAACAAAAAAACAACCCACTAACTGGGAAAAAATATTTGCAAGTCATATATCTGACAAAGGCTTAATATCCTTAATATATAAAGAACTCTCACAACTCAATCACAAAACATCAAACAACCCAATCAAAAAATGGGCTGGAGACATTAACAGACATTTCTCCAAAGAAGATATAATGATGGCCAATAGGCACATGAAAAGATGCTCATCATCGCTGATCATCAGGGAAATGCAAATCAAAACTACACTAAGATATCACCTTACACCCGTTAGAATGACAAAAATATCTAAAACTAATAGCAACAAATGTTGGAGAGGTTGCGGAGAAAAAGGAACCCTCATACACTGCTGGTGGGAATGCAAACTGGTGCAGCCACTATGGAGAACAGTATGGAGATTCCTCAAAAAACTAAAAATAGAACTACCATACGATCCAGCCATCCCACTACTGGGTATTTATCCAAAGAGCCTGAAGTCAGCAATCCCAAAAGTCCTGTGCACCCCAATGTTTATTGCAGCACTGTTTACAACAGCCAAGACGTGGAAGCAACCTAAGTGCCCATCAACAGACGAATGGATAAAGAAGATGTGGTACATATATACAATGGAATACTACTCAGCTGCAAAACAGAACAAAATCATTCCATTTGCAATAACATGGATGGACCTTGAGAGAATTATGTTAAGTGAAATAAGCCAGCGAGAGAAAGATAATCTGTGTATGACTCCACTCATATGAGGAATTTAAAACTATGGACCAAGAACAGTTTAGTGGATACCAGGGGAAAGGTGGGGTGGGGGGTGGGCACAAAGGGTGAAGTGGTGCACCTACAACATGACTGACAAACATTAATGTACAATTGAAATTTCACAAGATTGTAACCTATCAATAACTCAATAAAAAAAAAAAAAGTGTCAAGGTCACGAAAGACTGAGGAACTGTCACTGACTGGAGGAGACTACAGAGACATGACAACTAAATGCACTGTGCAATCCTCGACTGGAAACTGGAATAGAAAAAGGACATTAGTAGAAAATCTGGTAAAATCCTTATAAAATCTGTACTTTTGTTAACAATATTGTACCAAGCTAAACTTCTTAGTTTGATAAACATTCTATGATTATATCTGCTATTAACATACGAGGAAGCTGGGTGAAAGATATACAGGAATTCTCTCTACGATATTTGCAACTCTTCTGTAAGCCTAAATTTTTCTCAGAATTTAAAAAAATTAATGTTAAGAAATGCCTTATGAAGTTAAAATATTTAATACAAGGGCTGAGAGATAAAATTTAGTAAATTTCCCAGAAAATAGAATAAAATTCTAAACTCAAAGGCCAAGACACTTGTTTGTGATGTGACAAAAACCTTATCTCATGTGGAAAGAAATAAACTTTGGAAACTAAATACCGTTCCTAAAGCATGGTACCACAAAGCCTTAATCATTTTACTCCAAAAAGATAATTAACTAAAGGGGAGAGACAAAAGAATGAAATGTTCTATAAAAGATGTTAGATCTTTCAGTTTGTCCTAAGACAACATGCTGCGCATTTATGACTCTGCTTGACTATCTCCAGTACTCACTGCCTCATGTTCTAATTTCTGACCCTATTTGCTTATAGCAAACTAAAATCTGTTTTACATTAGCCTCATATACTTAAAATTTACAGTCTAAGAGGTCATATCCAGTGGTTCTCAAAGTGCAGTTCTGGACCAACAGCGTCAGGTCTCTAGGAAACGTATGTTAGACATGCAAATTCTATACCCAACTCCCAAACTTCTGGATCAGAAACTCTGGTGGTGGAGCCCTGCGATGGAGTTTTAACAAGACCTCCAGGTAATTCTGATACGGGCTAAAGTTTGAGAACAACTGATCTAATCCAATCCCCTCACCGTAGACATGATTTGCTTAAAGGCACAAGGTTTCTTAGAAGAGGCCATACCTAAAACCTAGGCTTCCAACCCCCAGTCCAATGCACTCATGACCTACCCCACACTGTCCACCAAAGGTGCTAATTCTTACCTCTGGGACAATAAAGCACAAACTGAATTCCTATTTCATAACAATACCACCTCAATTATCGTATCTCCCTTTCCCTACCATCATTTTCTGTTCCCCTAGTTCCATCAACTTTTTGTCATGTGGTATGGTTTTATCTTGTCTTGAATAAAACGTGTCACTTTAAATGAAGTACAACACTCCTGGTAGGCAATAGAAACCAAAAGAGTTAGATGCCTAATTCCTTAAACTGATTCAAACTATTATTCTAAATAGAACTAATAAGTGTTTCTCATGTATCCTCTTTATGCCATCATTTGTCTCCTTTTTGTATTTAACGGAAATATTATTCAGCACATCAAAGCAATCAATTAATGACGATTTTCCTACCCTGACATAAAGAGTCACTCAAATGCCATTACGTCCCACAGGTCAACTTCTTCTGGTATATTGTGTATAATATGTAAAGGTAAGCAAGACACCATAAAGTATGAGTAAACTCAAAAATATATGCAAAAACCGAGAGGAAGAAAAAGGGAAGCAGAGTGAAGATTAAGTCAGTCCTCTCCTTGACAAATCAAAACCAAGAGCAAAATTAACTCAAGGAAGTTATCTGTTAAACATTTAAAAAACAAAATTTCAATCAAACATAAATGAGGTAAAACAATTTGTTTGAGATAGACAGAGCCCTGGTAACCTTCACTTATCAGAACTTCAAATTTTAAGACAAGAAAAATTTGAATAAGCTAGTAATTAGATTTCTTACCAGGCCTGGTGTGGTATCTTCATCACTGTCTCCATCCTGAGTGCTTTCCATATCAACACTGAGAAGCACTGTATCTGAAGTGCTCTTGTGCCCTTGCGTGTTACTTTCAGTATGAACATCTAAGGATGATTTTTGCAAAGTGGATTCCGCCTTGGAAGATGTGGCTTCCATCTTTGGAGTTAAAATTCTTCTGCAATTTTTCTTTACTTCAGTCTTCTTGGATTTCTTACACAGCACTTCATTGTTAGAATTCTTATCTAACAGGGATTTGGGGCACTTAAGTTGGTCTGCCTTGTAATTGCTGAGTGAAAAGGGGACAAGACACACCTTAGCTGTTTTTCCTAAAACTGTAGTGTGTACTGGTCTTGGAGAAACAAAATCGATGTTTTGGTTTTCTTTATATTCATTCACCTATTCAGGTCAATAAAGGAAAATAGAAAGTATTAGAATCCCAGATCCTATGTCTTTTCTTACAGATCTGTGTAAATAAGTCTAACTCCTATTTCATAATAACAACATAAATCCAAACTGATAGCCTGTAAGTTAACTTTTTTTCCATCCAAAATCTAGATACCTAATTCATAACCTGAACATAATTATTTATTATACTGGGCACATTTCTTGCCCATATGAGTCGGCCAGACCAATAATAATAACGACTACAATTTGCATCTAAGGAGACAACTCCAACTGTCAGATTCTGAGTAAACAGAATAGTTTCAAGAGTGGAAGCTGACAGTGATGCAAAACCAAATACAGCCTCCCTAACCCCATCCTGCCGCCATTTCTGGGATTACTGAAGAACCTTCCTCATAGTCTCTAGTCTCATAGAGGAAAACCAGGGCAGGCATCCCCGCTTATCTTTTTAAGCAACACCCCGAAAAACTCTTTAAGCTGAGGGAAAAATCTTTTTGGAGTTGGGAGGTGCCGGGTGCCAAGTCTTGGTGACCTCCCGGGCCTGTGCCCGGCAGATCCCTCTCAAAGACTGAGGCAGGAGCACACCCGAAAGCGACAAGCCCTTTCTCACCTTCACCTGGAGTCGCTGTCTGGAGCCCGCCGTCTCCTCAGCCGCCGAGCACGACCCGGACATCTTTCCCCCGTTTAGCGGCTGGTGTCTTCCCGCCAAGATTACGGCGGGAGGCGGGGGCGGAAGGGAGCGGGAGGGGCGGAGCCCGGGCCGGGGCCGGCGCCCGCGGCTCAGAGCCCAGCTGGTCACGGGGGGGAAGGGGCACACGGGCGTTACGGTTGTCCCTTAAGGAGCCAAGCCTACCAGCCCCATGCCAAACTCCAATTCTTTAGGGATGCGAAGGGACCACATCGACATGTTTACCTTGGATGTCGGTGATTTTAATGTTGCTGATGCCAGTATCTCACTTTGAAAAACACTGGCGCTTCTGCTGAGGATAAACCACCTGGCCTTACAACGTGAGGCTGGAAAAGATACAGACGCACTTAGACGCTGTATAGAGAGGAAAGGAAATCGAAATCAACATGCAGCCTTGGCCCCCTAGTTCCTTATAACCCCATCACCAGAAAATTATGCCCTATGGTTACCATATTATCTTCTTCCGAAGAAGGGAAGCATTATTGATTTTTTTCAAGAGCTGATAACTTAAGCTAGTTAAAATTCCACCTCATCATCTGTCCACCAGTTAACTAAGATCTTAATGATGAACTTACAAAGCCCAAAGGCTGGGAAAAAGTTGTGAATCAAATAATTTTGTATCACGAAGTAACATAAATAAGATTTTAGTGCATTGTATTTCTTATAGTCACAGCCATATTAAATCTTTTTTTTTTTTTCTCCTATTCTCTGGGTTGCTGTGAGCCAAAACAATTGCCTTCCCATCACATTTACTCCCTCTGGACAGCACAGTTTTGCAGCTGATAAATTCATAATATAAATTTCTATCTACTCTATTTTTAAGGTCCTTTTCTTTCTAGCCCAAAACTGCTCCCTTGGTTGGTTACTTGGGTCCTCCACTGTTCCTTTTATTTCTTCTCCTGGCCTAGGCCCAATTTTAGAAGACAGGTGAAATAACTTGAGAACTAATCCTATTAACAGCACCTTCCAGGCCCTCCTTGATCTGGTACCTGCCAAACTTTCACCACTACTTAACTGAAAAATTACGGACAAAATCAAACCTCATAGTGTCTCATATATACGCTATTTCTGGACTTCAAGACTGCTCATGCTGTCCCTTCTCTCCTAACCACAGCAGTTATAAAACTCTTTCTACGGTGAAATGTGTTCTGACTTCCAATTAGCCAGTGTTTCTTATTCAACCCACCGAGTAAATTGCAATTGCTTCTATTACGATTCTATAAGCCCTTGAAGACTTCCTAAATAAAACCCAAGCTTCTTGAGGACATGAGCCTTTTAACAATATTCCTTACTCCTTACAGAGAGCTAAGCAGTTAACACAGTAAGTACTTAATAATTACTTTTACACTAACATACACTTTCCAGTTGGAATATGTTTTAATAGGTGGTCTCCAGAAACTGAAGGAACTGGAAAGCCTAAAAACAGTGTTCGGATTTCAGGCGTTGTCCCAAGCCCTCTGGAGGATTTTTTTTTTCCGCAACTGGCCTAAATCACCACGACCTGCCCTCGCGTGACCAAAAATAGCGCACCAAAACCCACTCAGCCTCATCAACTAAGCTAATCAGGTACTATTAGCAGGATTTCTATTCCGATTAAACTCTAATTCTGAGCTTTCAACAGTCTGGACAAACTGCCCTTCACTATCTTCACAGTTTCTTATTTATCACTATCCCATTTTCCTCGGCTTCAAACCAAGCTAAGAAGCGAAACCTTGAATTCGGACTTTCCTCGCCGCAGGGTCTCAACAAGCAAAGCCCAACGGAAGCAATTTCCCGCCAGAAGCGGCGTCCAAGTACGTGCTTCGACACTGAGGCAGCCTACGAACATGCGCAGGAACAGACTAGGCGTCCTGGTGTTAGGCAACTCCCGACGTCCTCCACTATCCCACAATCCTCTGGTCGCACATTTCCGGTTTTTCTAGATTAGCCGTAAAACGCTCAGCCGTAAACTGCTCCGGCGTTTCTATTAGTCGCGCAGTAGGGTCTGGTGGCCGCAGGTGGAGAGGATTTGTCTGTTCGTTGACGTTGTCGCTGTTCACTGTTTGGAATTAGTAAAGTTTCGGAAGTCAGCTCCGCTGCCATCAACATGTCGGTCCCAAGCGCACTCATGAAACAACCGCCTATTCAGTCTACGGCTGGGGCCGTCCCGGTTCGCAATGAGAAAGGTACTGTGCTGAGCCGTTTTCCAGTCGGGTCTTACCTCTTCCTTCCCCAGAGTACTCCAATCTATCCCGGGCCGACTACACCAACTCCACCAACCCTTAAGACCCTGCTCCCTATTTCTTCGACTTTCCTCATTAAACTCGCACCTGATCTCGTTGCCTCGGGAGAAAAAACCCACTTCCATCTCATCTCATTCTTATAGCCTGTCTGCCCTCACCTACAGGCAAACTCCTCTCTTTCCTTGGCCTCCATCATTCGTTAGACTAATGTATATAGTGAATGCCTGCAGTTTGCAGGACGTTGTGCAGGATACAATCCCTCTTTTGTTATCCATAGCAGTCTGTATATGCTGCTTTTATAACTCATCATTATAATTATTTATGTCTCTAGCTCCCTCTACTACATCGTAAGCTCATAACCTTCTTGAGGCAGGAACCATGTCTTATTAAACTTTCTATCCCTTTCAGCCAAGGCAGTGATTGTATTTATTAAATTGAATACAAAGTTGTACGGGACAGTCCCCCTAACTTTGAGAAACTCATTCTTGTAGATGTGAGACATGCAAAAAGAAGCACATTCTAAGCAGTGTACGGTCTTTCACACCTGTAATACCTGTCACTAAGTGATGTAAACCGAGTGATGTGGGAGGGCAGAAGAGGAATAATCTCTTCAGATTTGGGTAATCGAGGAAAGCTTGAAAGAAGATGCCATTTAAGTTGATCCTTAAAGGATGGATAGGATTCCAATCAGTGCAGATGGAAGAAGGAACACCGTATTTGTTTGAGGAGTCAGGGTTTTTTCATTAAGGATTTTGGAAAATAATAACGGTTCTTTCTTTTGTGTTTTTTCAATGTACTGAATCTATCATTGTGCAGCTTCCTTTTTTTTTTTCCTTTTAACTTAACATGATTTTTGAGAAATATCCTTTGGATACATATGGATCTAATTCATTTTAACTGCTTGTAAATTCCATTGTATAATTAAACCACCGTTTATTCTCTACTGAGGTACAGTTGTGTTGCTTTTTCTTGTATTACAAACATGCTGCAACTGTCATTCTTAAACATGTCTCTTTAGTACACTTGTGTAAGAACTTCTCTCAGGTAAACTCGTAGAAGTTCATCATCAACTATTTATTGCCAGTTGCTTTCCACAGTGGGTTGTAAGATCATTAGGAGTTTTTATTTTCCCACATATTTATCCACACTCTTGGTTATATCAGGTTTTTAGATTTCTGCCCAATCTAATGAGTGTGTAACAATATCTCATTATTTTAATTTGTATTTCCCTGATTACTAGTGAAGACTAGGCATCTTGTTCATGGGTTTATCAGCTCTTTATATTTTCTCTTATAGGAATTACCTGTTTCTGTCATTTACCCATTTTCTATTGGGTTTGTTTTTATACATCCCAAATCTGTAATATCTATTTCCCTAGGTTTTTTGGCATGTCTTTTAATTTTAATTATGGAGTCTTCTGTTACATAGACATTTTTAGTTTTAGTGTTATCAGATTTATCAATTTTATCTTTTAGGGTTTGTGCTGTTTTGTATATTGTTTAAGAAATCCTTCCCTACCCTGAGATCATAGATACTCAATTACAAGGAGTTTCTATCATCTGAATGTTTGTATATACTAAATAGGATTGAATACACAATTGTGCAAGACAGGCTCTAAGTTAAGGAGCTTATAGTCCAGTAGGGATGTATATGTTTAGGATATGTTTTTCACACTTGGGTCTTTAATCTGTCTGGAATTTTTTGTGTGTATCGTGTCAGAGATCTGATTTTACTATTTACCTATGGTTAGCCAGTTGTCCCTACTACTCCATTGTTTGACTAGCCCATCCATTCTTCACTGTCTTTTAATGTTGCTTCTGTAATATACCACGTTCTCACATAGGTTGTTTCTCTCCTCTCTACTCTATTCCATTGGTCTCTATGTATCCCGAGTCAACGACATATTGTTTTAATTACTGTAAATTTAAATAAGTCTTGCAGTCTGATACAAAACCCCACCCCCCTCACCTCACCTTCTTCTTTTTTTTTATTACGAGTCTATTTTTTAAGAGCAGTTTTAGATTCACAGCAAAATTGAAGGAAAGTTACAGAGATTTCCCATATACTCTCTATCCCCGCACATGCATAGCCTCCCCTATTTTCAACATTCCCCACTGGAGTGATACATTTGTTACAATTAATGAACCTACATTAACACATCATAATCACCCAAAGTCCATAGTTTACATTAAGCTTCATTCTAGGTGGTATACATTCTATGGGTTTGGACAACTGTATAATAACATATATCTGTCATTAGGGTATCAAACATAGTATTCTCACTGCTCTAAAAATCATCTGTGGTCTACCTATTTATCCCTCCCCACACCCAACCCCTGGCAACCACTAATCTTTTTACTGTCTCATCATTTTGACTTTTCCAGAATGTCACGTTTGGAATCATACATTATGTATCCTTTTCAAATTGGCTTCTTTCAGTTAGAAATATGCATTAAAGTTCCTCCATGTCTTTTCATGGCTTGATAGCTCATTTCTTTTTTAGCGCTGAATGATATTCCGTCATCTGGACATCCCACGGTTTATTTATCCATTCACCTAGTGAAGGACATATTCATTGCTTCCAAGTTTTGGCAGTTATGAGCAAAGCTGCAGTAAATATCAGTATGCAGGTTTTTGTATGGATGTAGGTTGTCAGCTCCTTTAGGTAAATACCAAGGAGCATGATTGCTGGATTGTTTGGTAAGAGTATGCTTAGTGTTGTAAGAAACCTCCAAACTGTGTTCCAAAGTGGCTGTACCATTTTGCAGTCCCACCAACAATAAATGACAGTTCCTGTTGCCTCACAACCTCATCAGCATTTTGTGCTGTCAGAGCTCTGGATTTGTGCCATTCTAATAGGAGTATCATGGTATCTCGTTTTAATTGGCATTTCCCTGATTACATAGGATATGGAACATCTTTTCATATGCTTAATTACCATCTGTTTATCTTTGTTGGTGAGCTGTTTGTTAAGGTTTTTGGCCTCACCTTGCTCTTCAGAATTCTCTTGGCTTTTTGACCTCCTTCCATATGATTTTAGAATTAGCCTGGGGACGAATTCTAGTGGAATTACATTAAAATTATAGATCATGCATTTATTGATTAACTCGGGTACAGTTGCCATCTTCTCATCCTTGAACATGATATATTTCTCCATTTATTTAGTTCTTTTATATCTTTCAATAAAATTATATATTTTTCCTCCTAAAGGCCCTTTACGTCACTTGTTGAATTTATTCCTTGGTATCTTACAGGTTAGTTGCTGTTGTCAATGGTATTTTTAAACTATATTTTCTAATGATATGTAGCTAATGTACAGGTACACTTATTTGTATCCAGCATTCTTCCCAAATTCTTTTTTTCAGTTTGTCTGTGGGTGATCTTATATTTTCTACATAGGTAATCATATAGTCTGCAAATTATAGCAATTTCTTCCTTTTCCATCTTTACCTTTTATCTTTTTCTTTTTTTTTTTTTAAAGATTGGCACCTGAGCTAACATCTCTTGCCAGTCTTTTCCTTTTCCCCTTCTTCTCCCCAAAGCCCCCCCAGAACATAGTTGTATCTTCTAGTTGTAGGTCCTTCTGGTTATGCTATGTGGGATGCCGCCTCAGCACTGCCTGATGAGCGGTGCCATGTCTGCACCCAGGATTCGAACTGGTGAAACCCTGGGCCGCCAAAGCAGAGCACACGAACTTAACCACTCAGGCGTGGGTCAGCCCCTCTTTTTCTTTTCTTATTGCCCTAATTAGAACCATAATAAAATGTTGACTAAACGGTGTGATAGGGACAACATAAGCATGCCCACTTTTTTCTTGTTGTTGTTTTTTTTATTGAGGTAACATTGGTTTATAACATTATATAAATTTCAGGTGTACATCATTATATTTCAATTTCTGTATAGATTACACCGTGTTCACCAACCAAAGACTAATTACCATCCTTCACCATACACATGTGCCCAGTCACCCCTTTTGCCCTCCTCCCTCCCCGCTTCCCCTCTAGTAACCACCAATCTAATCTCTGTGTCTATGTGTTTGGTGGTGGTTATTGTTTTTATCTTCTATTTATGAGTGAGATAATACATTGTTTGACTTTCTCCCTCTGACTTATTTCGCTTAGCGTAATACCCTCAAAGTCCATCCATGTTGTTGTAAATGGCAAGATTTCATCTTTTTGCTGGCTGAGTAGTATTCCTTTGTGTATATATCACATCTTCTTTATCCATCAGTCCCTTGGTGGGCACCTAGATTGTTTCCAAGTCTTGGTTATTATGAACTATAGCATGCCGAATGTTTTTTAAAGGAATGCTTCTAATATTTTATCATTAAGTATAATGTTTGCTGTATCTATTGTTAAGACTGTGACTTTAAATGTATCAACTTTAAATAATACATTATTTTTTCCCCTGTTAATTTTCTAAGGTTAAACCATCCTTGTAGTCCTGGGCTAAATCCTATTAGGTCATGATGGTTTAGAGTTTTTTTGTTAGTTTTTACATTGCTGGAATAAATTTGCTGTTAGTGTTTTTGTATCTATGTTCATAAGTGAAATCCACCTAAAATTTTCCTTTGAACTGTCCAGTTTGGTTATCAAGGTTATATTCATCTTATAAAATGTATTGGTT